AAAAAAAAAAGGGGAACAGGATAAAATTGAAACCGGACAGGACAGTTATTAATTTACCTCTACCCCTTGATTGAGATAACTTTGTCCCTGTCGGTAAGAGTATAGTATGACAGTACATCTGAGGCGTGGATTGAAGATTAATGGGCCAGACTGCTTTGTGTATTGTATTATATTGTCTTAAGCCCAATTAACTGAAATATTGGGCCTGGTGAAGCACTAAACTGAGATGGACAGAAGGATCGTTAACCAGCCTAGTATTGACAAAAGTCACAGGACATGAAAACATCATCGGATCCGGTTACGGCAGGGTCCACACATCAGCAGATCCGCATGAATTGGCAAATACGATTTTCGTTTCTGTTTGATTTTTTTCGACACATCACTGCCATTTGTTTGGTCTTCTTTGGGACAAACTAAAAAGGGTGAGCATATAAGGACGAAACAGAAGTTACCAAGAAAACATTAATCCAGAAGAATTATTATGGTAAGCTAGCCATTGCTTTTTATTTTAATAAAATAATTTATTTAATAAAAAATTATTAAAGATATAATATATATATTAGTTTCTTATTTTTTTTAAAGATTATAAGAGGATATCAATTAAAAAGACAATTAAAATTAGAATTTTTCTTTAAAAAATTTTCTAGTATCAAACGGAATATTTAAAACTCAAATGATCAATAAAAAATTTTGCCCTTACTAACTTGATTTTTTTGACTCCACTAAGTTAATTCTCAGGCTTTGCTAACTTCATTTTCTGACTCCGCTGACTATTTTTCTCACCTTAGGTGGTTAGAATATTAGAAATTCTTAAAGAATTTTTCCCGAGTACTTGACCACCAACATCTGGGAATGTCTCGTAACCAGACAGAGGACTTACTTCTCCATCTTTATCTACTAGCCTTGCAGCAATGTAAATTTAGCGGCTGTATATTTCTCCCAGTTTTCTTCAGCAATCTTGTTTACTTCCTTTATGCATTCCAGACTTTCTGGGACATCGAAGGGACCATCCACTGTCCCAAGATGTCCTGTCTACAGTGATTTTCTATAACCATATACCTACAGGATACAGGGAAGGACTTAGTCTGTGTAGGAAATAGGGTAACATTGTCTACACAGTAAAGCTCAGTTAGAAGAAACGTTTGTTGGATGTTTCATTTCAAAAGCCAAAAACATAGTTATAGCAAGAGGGGAGGAAAATAGATCAAAAAGCACTTTTGAGAGTGCAAAGAAAGTTCACAAGAAGAAAAGTTGGTAGATTATATACTAAATCCCCAATCTTGTCCCTCAACTATTGTACACAACTTTGAGTTGGTCCATGAACTAAAAACTTTTTTTATTTGGTCTCTAAAATTTTTAAATTTGGTGCCAAGTTAGTCCTTCGTTAAAAAATAATTAATATGTCAGTTACTTAATGATAGAAGATCGTTACTTGACGGTTATATGTCACATTAACTAATGGGATACATCAATTGTTTTTTAATGGAGAGATTAATTTAAAGCCAAATTTAAAAACCTTAAAGATCAAAATCAAAAATTTCTTTAGTTTAAGGATCAACTTAAGGATCTGTACAATAGTTGAGGGATCAAGTTAAGAGTTTAACCTAAATTATATGAACGGCTGATGACCTTTTCCTTCTCAAACCTTATCTCCCTATCCATCTTAAAATTCAAAGTTTAGACTTTTAATATAGACACTCAAATTCTAAACAATTAGAACATCCCTAAAAGATGATTCATAAAATTAATAGTTCTGAAGAAAGTGAAACAAGAAAATACAAACCTCGCCACGTGGATGCTCCCTGTCCCATGTGCAATGGGGTTGATAGGCACCCATTGCTATCTCTGTGTCTCTTGAACCATCCATGGACCTTTGGTTAATATTAGCAGATCCAAGTATCACATATTCATCATCTACTATCATTCCCTTAGAATGCACATAATTCATGAATCTTTGAAAATTTTGTGACTTCGAAACCTGAGAAACATTCCAATTAAAACCAACTTCTCATTGAATTCCTTCCAAATTTAAGATATAAATATCTATGCATAAGAGCAAAGCAACAGAAATTAACAAGACTAATGATATGCAGACAATCTTTTTGTATAACTTTTGCATGTTATTAAATAAATACATGCATATACTATTATAGGTTTCAGTAAAATAAAAGGCTAATTATTTAATGATATGTAAGATTGTAAAAAAAAATTGTATAAGAGAGTTATCTTTCCATCATTTTCCAATTAACAATCAACCACATAATCTAATATGCAGAATTGCAGTTTCCATGAAAAGGTTAAAAGGGGATAAGATAAAGAGAGATTCTCTCAAATAGTTACCTTATTTTCCTCGCTCTGGTTGAAGTGGAAGGGTCACCTTCACTAATGGGAACACCAGGGCTAACTCTAGTGCTTAAATGCAGCAGCCAATCCCTTTTCCTCTCTCTCCTCCCTCCTTGTACAATAGGAAAATGATTGAGAAATAATTTTTTATATAATTTTTTCATACAAGTTTATATATTATTCTAATGATTGATTCTTTTCATTCTATCGAGACCTATAACATTGTACATATCCACATATTTAATAATATGTAAAAATTGCAAATAAAACTTGTATAAAAAAGTTGCATGCATGTCATTACCTAGTAAAATATTATACTAATAGTTGCTCTCTTTCAAAAAAAGGAAAAAAAAAAAAAAGAGCCTAGTCACCGCATCAACATCACTGGCCGGATTTTCCCCTGGGATGCATTCCCTTTTACCAAGGCAATAGAAATTGAGGTAATCCTGAGGATGTGCGTCTTGATGCCCCATCTTTTGTAGTTCTTTTGCAATAATACCATACATCATTTTCATTGTCTGAGACTGAAAGGCAGAAAAGTAGGAATAAAAATGTAAGGCCTTCATGCTTCTTTTCTATAAGAATGAAACAGTATTCCCACCTTAATAACAGAGATAATAAGCTATCAAATCTTTTTTACGCTGCACCAACTAATGATTAGTAGTTGGGCAAAATGGTATATCTTCCAAGATGTAACAAGCAGGTACTAGAGTAACAACTAATAACAATAATATATAAGCCTCGTCGTCACTTGTCAACATTGTTTTATAGTTTTTCACAAGGAAGGCACGCCAAAAGAGGATTTTGATTGAAAAGAATTCAAGAAGGAAACAAACAATAACCTGCCAAAAGAGAATTTTCTACACTCTTTTAGACTTTGGATCACCCTCAGGCCACATTGGAATGATGACATACACAGCAAACCTCTCATTTGCTCTAATTTTACTAGTAATCTTCAATGTCAACTCCATTGGGATTAGATTGTTAGCACCTGCTAATCCCATCAAAACAGATAAACATGAAACGTTCAGATTCTTCAGAATGAACAAGCAAAAGAAGAAAACATTGCCGACCTGCATCTTTATTTGATGGCCATGCATATGAGGTGTTAGTTTTTGAACAAAGAGATGGAGATCAGATAAGTGCAGAACTGGTATTTCATTAACCAAATCTGCTTTTTACAAGGAAATAAAATAAACTGATACAAATTGATAAAAACTGAAAGTTAACTACACTACATTCATAAAAACAAGCTGATCAAATAAAACAAACAAATAACTACTACAAACTGTAAATAACGTGACAGCATTTGTGTCACTGTCAACATCCATTCCTTGCCTTGTTGTTTTCACTCCTCCTTGACACTAATGTTGCTCATTCCAAGCTTGTCTCTTAGTGTCTCAAACCTACACTTGTGCAATCCTTTAGTGAATATATCAACAATCTGGTCATCTGAATTACAATGTAACACCTGAACTTCACCTTCACTAACCACCTCCCTGATTAGAATGATATTTGATCTTGATATGCTTGGTTCTACCATGAAGAACAGGATTCTTAACAATTGTAACAGCAGATAAATTATCACAAAACAACTCAATAGGATGTGTCTGAGGTTGTTTTAAATCATTCATTAGTTTCCTGAACCACACAGCTTGACCTGTAGCAAGAGAAACAGCAATGTACTCAGCTTCTGCTGTTGACTTGGCAACTGAGTCTTGCTTCTTAGAACTCCAGCTAATCAACCCTGAACCAATAGAAAAACACTGTCTTGAGGTGCTCTTCATGTCTTCCTCTAAACTAGCCCAATCACTATCTATAAATCCAATTAGCTTCACATTCGTTGAACATTTATAAAGAACACCAAAATCAGTTGTTCCCTTTACATACCTCAAAATCCTCTTGGCTACCTTGAAGTGTATTTCACTAGGAGAATGCATAAACCTAGACAAAAGGCTCACTGAATGCATTATATTAGGTCTAGTTGCTGATAGATATAACAATCTCCCAATTAAATTCTGGTAAACTCCTGCATCAATTTTAGCTGCGCCATCATCACTTCTTAGCTTCTCACAAGGAACCATAGGTGTGCTGACTGTTCTGCAATTAGCCATTGCAAACTGATTCAGAATCCCATTAGCATATTTCTTCTGACATATGAATATACCCTGACTAGTTTGACTGATTTTCATTCCAAGAAAGTAGGACATTTTCCCTAAGTCATTCATTTCAAATTCCTTCTTCATTTCAACTTTGAACTGTTGGATCAACTTCTCATTACTTCTAGTGATGAAAAAATCATCCACATAAATTGTAACAATCAATAAATCAATTCCCTCTTCTTTGACATAAAGAGTGACTTTAGTCAGACTCTTTCCAAACCCAATTTCAGCAGATATTCATCTATTCTGCTATACTAAGCTCTAGGAGCCTGCTTAAGTCCATACAAAGCCTTTTTGAGCAAATAGACTTTGCTTTTAGTACCAACTTTAACAAATCCATCAGGCTGCTCCACATGTATTTCTTCTTTCAAATAACCATTCAAGAAAGCAGATTTAACATCAAGTTGGTATACAAACCAGCATCTCTGAGCTGCTAGTGCCAAAAGCAATTTGATGGTATCAAACCTGGCCACCGGTGCAAATGTCTCACAAAAATCAATTCTTGGGAGCTGTGAGTATCCCTTTACTACAAGCCTTGCTTTGTGCTTGTTTATAGAACCATCAGGATTAAGTTTCACCTTATAAACCCACTTAACACCAATGACTTTCTTGTTATCTGGTCAATCCACAAGCTGCCATGTATCATTTTTCTGAATCATATTGAATTCCTCCTGCATTGCAGCTCTCCAGACTTCTAACTTCACAACTTCATAAAAATTTGGAGGTTCAACAACACTAATATTGCACCTTTCATAAATATTAGCCAATGATCTAGTACCTCTAACTGCATAATCCTCATCAGTTTCCTCTTCAAGAATAGTCTCAGAAGATATAAGTTTTGAATTCTCACAATTCCAAGTTGCAGCTTCATTAAACTTCACATCTTTATTAACTTCAATCTTTCCAGTTTTCACATTAAACACCCTGTAGCCCTTTGATTAACTACTGTAACCTATAAAAATTCCAACTTCAGCTCTATGATCAAGTTTATCTCTTTTTGCCTCTAGAATATGCATATAACAAATGCAACCAAAGACCTTGAGATGACGGATGGTTGGTTTAATTCCAAACCAGACTTCATATGGTGTCTTCCTATTAAGTGCCTTTGTTTGAACTCTGTTGAGCAGATATACAGAAGTATTTACAGCTTCAGCCCAGAATTTTCTTGGCAAGTTCTTCTCGAACATAATACACCGACCCATATTCATAATTGATCTGTTTTTGCTCTCATAGACACCATTTTGCTGAGGATTGTATGGTACTGTGTGTTGGTGTTTTATGCCATGGCTTTTCAAGAAATGCTCAAACTGGGGTGAGGTATATTCACCACCATTGTCTGTTCTTAGAACCTTCACTGACTTGCCAATCTCATTTTCAACTACAGCTTTAAACTGCAAAAACTTGTTAAACACTTCTAACTTTTTCTTCAAAAAATAAACCCAACACATCCTGCTAAAATCATCAATAAAATAGCAAAAAATATTTGCTCCCATTGATAGATTCTGTTTTCATAGGGCCACAAATGTCAGAATGTATTAATTGTAATGGTTCTGTAGCCCTCCAATTACTTTTTAAAAAAAAGGGAATTTGGATTGCTTTCCCTTTTGACAAACATCACACACAGAACCACAATCTTCTATTGTAGGTAAATCAACAACCATTTCATGAGAATGCATCAGTTTCAATGAACTGTAATTATAATGGCCAAATCTTTTATGCCAAATTGTATATTCATCAACAATACTAGGATAAGCACGCACCCTAGAATGCTTCCATTCCACTAAAAAACTCCTATCAGACATCTGTACGGAAAACAATCTAGTACTAGACTTATCAGCAACTTCACACATTTTGTCATGAAAATTCAAAACATAACCATTCTCTAATAATTGGCCAACACTGATCAACTTATGACTTATATTAGGTACAAATAACACATCATGAATATATTTAATAACTGTAGAAGTCTCTACTATAGCTACACCTTTGCCTTTCACTTGCACCAGATCTCCATTTCCTAGTCTGACTTTGGAGGAGTAACTTCTGTCAATGCTTTTGAAGATACTCAAATTTGGTGTCCTATGGTTTGTGCAACCATTATCAATTAACCATAAATCACCACTCACTGTAGCAACATAATTCTTCTCAACCTTTGATACCATGAACAACTTCTCTTCATCTTCATCAACAATTTCAGCAACTTTAGCTTGCTGTACATGATTCGCTTGTTGCTTGCAAACCCTTTCAACATGGCCAAAATTCTTGCGCTTTCTAAATTGCACTCCAAGTCTAAACCAGCAATGATAATCCAAGTGACCTTTCACTTGACAATTAGAACAAAAAAAGGTGTTGTGCCTTCTCCCTTTGAACCTGTTGTACTGGTACTCTCTCTTTTCTTTTCCTTTCCTGTTGTTGAATTGCTTTTTACCTCCACCTATCACTTGAGTGTCATCTTCTTTCACTTTAGCTTTTCCTTTTTCTGTCACAAGGAAAGCTCCTTCAGACGTAATTTCTTGTCTAATAGCCTTTCTTTGCTCAACAGCTTGAAGAGAACCAACAAGCTCACTCAAAGTCATCTTTGAAAGATCCTTTGAATCTTCCAACGAGGAGATTTTATGCTCAAATTTTTCTGGTAGGCTGACAAGAACTTTTTCAACAACCCTTTTGTCTTTGAGTTCTCCACCAAGGACCCTTATTTGGTTCACCGTCCTCATCACTCGATCTTAGTATTCCTTCACTGTCTTTGTTTCTTTCATCCTCAACACCTTGAACTCCTTTCTCAAGTTATTAATCTGGATCTCCTTGGTTTTTTGATCTCCCTGGAACTCTTCTTTAATTGTGTCCCAGGCTTCCTTTGCTGTCTTGCAAATAATAATTCTATTGAAAATTTCATCTGACACAGTTCCATGGATACAAGTAAGAGCCTTGTACCTCTTTGTGGACTCTTTCGTATGGCTCTTGATCTGATTCACAGTTGGGTTTTCCAACAAGGCTGCAGGTTCCTTATCATTTTCAACAACATCCCAAAGATCAAATGCCCTTAGGTAGGCCTTCATCTTCACAGACCAAGCGGAGTAGTTTTGGCCTGTAAAGTATGGAGTTTTGGGTGTGAAATTAGAGGGTTCCATGGTTAAAATCACTCCCTCACGTGTTTACACTCAATCGACACAGTCCCTCCAAGAACAAAAAAGCTCTGATACCAATTGTTAGTTTTTGAACAAAGAGATGAAGATCAGATAAGTGCAAAATTGATATTTCATTAACCAAATCTGCTTTTTACAAGGAAATAAAATAAACTGATACAAACTGATAAAAAATGAAAGTTAACTGCACTACATTCATAAAAACAAACTGATCAAATAAAACAAACAAATAACTGCTACAAACTGTAAATAACGTGACAGCATTTGTGTCACTGTCAGCATCCATTCCTTACCTTGCTGTTTTCATGAGGATCCAATAAAATACTGATTTTCAATATATATGAAATGTTGAGCAGATTTGATTAACTGAATGTAAGCTGTTTGAATGCTTACATCTTTTACCAGACCTTTTGAACAGACAAGATTCTGCAAAGAAGAGTTCCATTAATATTTAAAAACTGCAATTTAACAGATGCCGATTGGTTTTTAAAATCACATCAAAGGAAGTAGTTTCATAAGAAACCTGGGCATAAGCAAAACCAGGATCTTCTGAGTCAATCGACCGGAAAATCGGTGAAAGAAAAACAGAAATGGAACCAACAGTTACAAACTGTTTTCATAAAAAAATATAAAAAAATAAAAATAATAAATAAATAAATAAAAA